TGGATTTGGAGTTTGGGGCAGTTGTCACCCACCATATGAGTGCTGGGAATCAAAACTGGGTCCTCTAAGGCAGGGCCAACCAGTATACTTTCTCAACCTGGGTGCTGTTGCCATTTGGGTATGTGAGAGCCTCTCCTGTGCACTTTCCATGCTTAGCAATATCACTGGCTAGATGCCAATGGCACACTCTCCCTCCCTAGATATTGCCCATGCAGCACTGGTAGAGAGGCCCTGTTACAAGGACACAGCAACTCCCCTTCCCAACCCCATACAGCTATCCTTATCTAGCACATATATAGTCTAATTTTAAAATGTTTCTCAGCTGAGGATGAAGCTTAGTGGTAAAGCATTAGTGTCGTATGTGCGAGTCCCTGGGTTCCACCCTGGCACTACAGGAAGTTTCCCTTCTATATGAAAGGCCTTTAAAATCAGAGCAAATAGAATCCACTGGGATGATTCAGATGGTAGTCTTTTTTTAAAAAAAACCAAGACTCTGAAGGTGCTGTTCCAGAGAGAAAGAAGGGATGAGGGGCAGGTCTTATGTCTCAAATAAAAAGCTCATTATGTGGTGAGTCAGCAGAAAAGCAAGAGTTACTGGAGACATTCAGAGTTCCTGACTTTCAGTGACAAACCTAACTGGCATCAATGGGCCCACCCGGAAGCACCTACTCAAGGGAAGCCACACCGCAGCAGTAACGGTGCATCTTCTCTGTACCTTTTGATGGCCGTGGGTTTGAAGGGTTTGAAGCATGGCAGCTCACACAGCTGTGGAGAGGGCAGCGAAAGCCTCGGCTCTCAAAAACAGTGAGAGGGTATTTTTTTACACAAGCTTCATGGTAAAATTTTCCACACTGAGTTACCACACAGCGCTTCACCTCCATCTTGCTCTCTTTACACACGAAGCATGAGTGAATCCCTAACAAGTGGTTAAAGAAATGGGTGGAGAGAAAGGTGCAGAGAACAAGGATTAAAATGCAGTTCTGAGCGACCAGAACAGGACTAACTTTTCTGGAGCAGCCTGTGCTGTTCAAGCTTGCAGCCCGATTTCTAACATTGCTGACATGCCTGAGCCTTCTTCAGAAAATTCCAACCATCTGAGCTTCCTGCCATCTAAGCTCTGGCGTCACCTGAAATACAGGCAAGTCTTGTCGTGCAGCCTAGGAACTCTAACTGAGGAGAAACTGAAAGGAAGAGAGTCCACTGCAGAAAAGCTGCCTTCTTCCTGGGCCACTTACCAACTGCGGCAAAGACTCACTACAGCTGCAGAAAAACTGGCACCTGAGGTGACTACTGCTGCTGGGCTGCCTGGGCAGCTTGATCCTAATGTGTCTGGACAAGAATCAGGGGATTTCTTGAGCCCCATCAGTAGGCAGCAGGGGCCACTGATGCCAGTCTTCTTCCCACTGTGATCCTTGGTGTGATGAAACCTGCACTACTGAAATGGTGGCACAACAAAAGCATTGGCCCTTCAGGGTGAGTTCTTCCTGACAGACACCTAGTCTGTAACTGTGTAACACCAGTGCACTACAACTGACCAGTAGTCAGGCAAGACTAAAAGTACAATGCCCCACAGCAGCCACCTGCAGAGCAAGGCTCAGGCTAGTCCGCAGGATGTGTGTAGGAGAGCTCACAGTCTTCTATCTCCTCACTGTACCAGTCACTGTATCCTAAACCACTTTCCCAGTGACACTGTCATTCAAATAGTAAAGCCTACAGCCTGGTGGAAGAACCCCTACAGAACAGACACTCCTAGAGCCAGCATGTTGGACTTGTTCCCTAATGCCTCGTACACAACTTAGGAAACACACAAGGAAATGACAAGCAGCAGAGCCCTCCCCACCCCCAAGCTTCTGAAGCTGGAACTTGCCTGAGGCACACTCTGTGCAGGTGAATCTCCCTTCTGGTCTTCGTGAAAGTCCAAGGCAGGCAAGATGGAATGCTCCACAGCAGGGGCCTTCACACAGCAAGAGGCTGCCTGTCTTCTCACAGAGCTGTGGGAAACAGAGGGCAGCATGAACGCGCACCTAGCCAGTGCCCTTTGGGCAGCTTTCTGACCACGGAAGCCTGAGTCTGTCCTGCAGGCAAATGAACATAACCACCTACAGGATCAGAGTACAGCCAGGTGAGTTACAGAAAGAGGTCAGCCCCTCAGCACTGGCTAAGGAACAACAGGCTAAAACTCTAAAGGGTATACCCAGGATGCTTCAGATCAGAGCTCAAAGTCAAAACCGGGGTACTTTCCCCTCCACCAGAAATCAGCTAGTCTTCCGTACATGACAGCAATGAGGCTGACGGCCAGACATTTTTCAAGTATAGACCAATCAAATTCCCACATGGACAATGGCTCTGACTGCGCCTCACCATGGAGCAGGGAATGAGGCGCAGAAAGTTAGCCTTTCCAAGATCAGCACTAAGCCAGCACCTAGCAAGCAGCACAATGACCAAGGCCCTAATACGAGGCACTGCCACTGCAGGAGGAGAGGCCCATTGATACCATCTTGGCCCATTTGGTGTATGAGTGGCAGGGAAAGCACGTCACCCTAACGTCTCACCTCCTCCAGCACATGCACAGACACTACTTCCAACCGACTAGATATGCTCTTGTGCTGTATGAATACATACATCTCATCTGAGGAGTGACACTGACTCAGGCAACGTAATTCCAGGGCTCTGCTGGTGGTCTAACCATTCCAAAAAGGCATCAGTGAGTGGTAATAGGGCAAGGGGGGGAGGGGTCTGGAGGAAGACAGGATGCTGGAAACTTCATGAGAAGCCTTCACCCACACATCAGACCCTGCCTGCCCCTCACCTGACACACGTATTCCTTTTTGGCAGCCACTCCTCGTTCAGACTTTTTAGATGAGATGGAAGCTTCAGTCTGTGTTTCATCTGCACTTTCATACGGGGACTCTGAAGGTTCATCTCCTGGGCTGTCTGAGACCTGGAGATGAAGGAGGTGGACGACAGTTCACTAGCCACAGAAAACAGCGGGTGACCACGCCCTTTGGACAAGTCCTGTTTCCTGCCCCATCTCCCAGTGATGTGCTGTGAATCACACTGTCACTGGCTTGGTGGATATACACTTGTAATAGAGCTGTGTACAAAACTCAGAAGTGGACCTTACTCTACTCAATATTTAACAGACATATGTACATAAGACATATCCCTTTAAATGAAGTAGCTTATGAAAATCCAATTATCTCTGCTAAATAAACTAAGATGGGCTCTAGAATCTAGACTCTTGTTTTTTCTTACCCAATTCGTGCAGGTCCAAAGACCACATGAATTTTTTTTTAAAAGACCAAAGTGAAGTCCCACACAAGGCCTCACACAGTAGCCGTCCATGCTGAGGAGAGCATGTTGCTTCTCTGGAGCTGAATCAAGGGTCAGGAGAGTCATCCAGACTTGCATTGCAGACTGACTGTACTACCTCTCCTACAGCTCACTAGTCCCAGCTATCCATTCTGCTTCACAGAAAGGCAAGGAACAATCTCCTGTCTTGTTAACACTGGAATCTATGGAAACGGCTTAGAAGGAATGCAGAAATGTGGGCAGAGGAAACCACTGGCAAGCTGTGTTCTACTGCTCAGATTAGGACCCTTACTGCATTGAGCCTCTTGCCCTCACTTGACAAGCACTAGCAATAAACGTTTAAGTGGGTAAAATAGAAAATCTTTTTGTCCATCAAATTCAAGTGTTTAAATTTTTTGGTTTTTATCTGTTAGGTTTTTTTCGGTGTCAAAAAAATGAATTTTGGAGATAGAACAGAGCAAATATTAACCGCATTTCCTGTACAGTTCAATAATTACAATTAATTATAGGCTGTTTGCCAGAGAATACAGTGAAATACTGAAATTGGGCCACATTTAAAAAAACAAACAAAAACTAGGGAATCTAGCCTACAGGTTCTGCAGACTTACTGATGAGCTTTTTCCAGATTTATCTCATTGAAATTATTTGGAGTAGTGGTAGAAAAAATAAACAGGCATCTTGCTGATTTGAACTCAAAGTAGGCTGGCTTTCCAAGGGCTCCTGTGGCTGTGAGAGGGCACTGGAGCAGGGACACTGTTCTAGTCTCTCTAGACAGAAAAGGCTAACAAAAAGTCTAAAAAAAAGCCGGGCATGGTGGTGCACACCTTTGGTCCCAGCACTTGGGAGGCAGAGGTGGCAGATCTCTGTGAGTTCGAGGCCAACCTGGTCTCCACAGGAAATCCAGGCCAGATAGGGCTACAGGGAGACCCTGTCTCAAAAAGGCAAAAAAAATTAAAAAAAAAAAAAAAAAACGGCTTGTCATGATGGTAGGTACACACCTTTAATCCCAGCACTCAGGATGCAGAGGCAGGCTGTGAGCTCAAGGCCAGCCTGGTCTACACAGTGAGTTCCAGGCCAGCTGGGACTATAGGGAGACCCTATCTCAAAACAAAAACAAAAACAACAAAAAAAGGCCTTTTAAGCTCAATTTTCTCACCTTTTCCAGGAATAGCATGAAGAAGACTAGATTAGAGCAGTGTCATATCACAAGGTCTGTCACCAGGAGGCTGACTAGCTGGAACTGCAGGGCCCATTCCCCGTCCCTCACCCAATTAGCTCACCTCCCACTTTTCTTAACATCAACATCCAGAAAGAGGCAACTTGAAATGCTCTGAGTTCAAACTCCAAATTTAACATGTCCATCAGATATGGGGGGTCATGGGTGAGGGTCTCAGCATTTCTGAGGTGAGACTGGAGTGGGTACTAGGGAAGTCCAGGGCCTCAGGAATCAGTGGCCACACAGCTTGACCTGTCTCAGAAAGTAGCTCCCCAGCCACCCAAGGCTGGCCCATCTGACTGATGAGGGAACTGAGACCCAAAGAAAGGGCCTTCAACACAGCATCCATGGAAGAGAGCCCGCTCTCCATCCACCAACCCAACTCTTCCCTTGGTGTCGCTGAAACAAAACTTAAAAGCTATAAAAGAAAAAGGAGTGGAGAGAAGGACAGAAAACACAAACCAGTCCTGGGTCAGAAGAAGGAACAGCACCTTTTATTTAAGATTTACAGAAAGTTAGCACGTTTCCACTCGGAGATATTTCCTAAATTAACAAAGTCTGTTTTGAGGAAATAAACACTGAATACATATTTTGAATGAAAATATAAATGTTAATGACACACATAAGGCTCGTTTCCTGATTGGGTCTGAGATCCACATACAGAATATAGACCTTACAATATCACAGTCCATGACAGATTGTAGAAGGTCCCATCTTCACCCACCACACCCCCTCCGACAAATGGAAGGACCCCTAGCCAGTCAGGAGGGTCCCTCAGCTCTCTGCTCAGAAAACCACCGGCAAGAAGAGCCAAGTGTGCGCCTCACTCCAGCTGCTGGCTCCACCTCCACGCGTACCAGGTGACAGCTTACTTGGAGATGCCATTTGTGGAAGTGATAAATTACCTGTATGGTCCCAACACAGTCCCAGATCTCAGTCTACAACATCTATGATCTATTCCATAGCCAACAGGATGTGTTTGGAAAAGGAAAAATGCAGTGACTGATGGAACACAGACTGTCAACTTTCCTGGGGATTCCTGTGTCCACCAAGGCCATGCTTGTGGCACTGATTTCCAGGCAGCTTAGTTCCTGACTTTCCAAAGTTTTCTTGAATGTGAAAATACTTTCTCCACTCTCTACTCAGTATGTGATAGTACCAAGTTGCCTACCTGCCTTAGACATACATTCCTTCAGAGACAGGAAATGCAGTCTTCTTCACCTATTACAGGGACTTTCAAGATGGCATGACCAAACATCAGGTGACCTGGTAGACATCTTCCAACCCACTGCCAGGAGCTATGCGACCATCAGGAAGACTCAAAGAGTGCAGCTGGGGTTTACCCCACTGTGGCCACAAAGCAACCCCCTTCCCTTTCAAGGGCTGATACACATTGAGTTTTTAATTTTTTGACAAAACAAATCCCTTCACAAGTTGAATACTACTACATCATTTTGAAATACAATTACAGACCTTGAACAATAAATATTTCTATAAACCAACATTGTTTTCAGGTTGAAGTTATGCTTTCATAAAGGAAGAGGCGTAGAAGTACGTTCACAGACTGTTTTAGATTTACAAATGATAATCCTGTGCTCAACAGATATAATGAGTCTAAAATTAAAAGACTAATCTCAAGCAGGTCTTCCAAGTTAACATCACAGTGAAGTATTAGAGTGGAATTAAAGTTGACCATTATCTAAAATCCTAGAATTCAAAATAATTTTTATTGTTATACAGACTAGAACTTTCTTAGCTGCTCCTAATTTAAAGCCAGCTATAGTTACCAAGAACATGAAAAACCTCTAGTCCAGAGTGTCATTGTGCTTCCCATTCATCTAGTCTATGCCAGCATCTAGTAGTCACACAGCCTGAGGAGAGGACAACAAAGACCAGGGGGAGCCATGGCCAGGGCTGGCCACATGGCTACTGCTTCCATGAGGGCTTGCCCTCGACCTTGTCAAAAGTAAAGTGAGTCTCAAAATGTCCTAGCTGTGTCCTCAGTGGCAGCCATTCCCTGGGAGTGGGCAGTGGAGGGGTCTGGTCCAGCCAGCTGCAGCAACAGGCCACATCTCATCACCTGTAGGCCTTGAAAACAGGGCTGACAGTCTGCCTGTTTTCTTTGCCCATGTAGCTGAACAATGCCCTTGCACCCTAGCTAGGACCCCAGGTCACCCCAGTCATTTCTTAAAAACAATATATCCCAGAAGACATGTTCAAAATACTGTTAAGAGTTGTACACACACACACACACACACACACACACACACAAAAAAAAAAAGCCCAACAACCACATAGGTTAGAAAAAAATTATGGGGATGTAGTACACAGGAATCTGACAAGATGAGACATGTCAGGCTGTGAAAAGGACACAGTTGCTAGTTAAGATATCCCAGAGAGCATGCCTCTCACCCTTCCTGTACAGGAAAAAAAGGCAAGCACTACTTTTCTGTCTGCGAAGGACAGTCCACTTTCTAACAATGTCAGGAAAATGAGTGAAAAATCCTCATGTTCCAGATAAAACAATAAAAGCAGTACCTAAAAGGACCAAAGTAAACTTCAGTCATCAGAAGTCCTAAAATATCCAGGAAATCAATATAGTCCTTAAAATAAAAACAAAACCCAAAAAGCTTTAGAGGTCAGTAAGACACAATAAAGCTTTGAGAGCATGTTAGGAAAGCCCTTCTGATTTTCTTCAGCAAAAGACAGTAATTTAGATTAATCATCTGAAGGATAAACACCAGTCGTTGGTGATGACTTTTTCCAAAAACTGATGTAATGGAATTACTGACTTTAAAATAAGATGCTGCATGTTTCACATTGAGTGCAAAAGGCCCTTGCCTGGTCCCCTCACAGAAGTCCATATGAATAATAGGATCTAATGTGGCTCAGCAACCTATGTGTTGGGATGTGAGACACAAGGTACCTTAGAATCTGACAGAGAAAGGAAGCAAACTTACTAAGTCTTAACGACCTTACTGTTGACCTGCCACTAGACAGGCATTTCCCGAAGGGGGTGACAGCCTCACAGAGCATCGAGCCCAAATAAAGCAAACTGAGACCAACAAACTCATTCAGGGTCCTGGTTCTGCCCAAGTGGGCCAAGCGAACCAGGGGCTTACATGGAATACAAACCAGTGCTGGAGGATGGACAGAGCACATTTCAGTTCTGGTCCCCACTCCAGGCTCTGCAAGACCTTTCTCAGAAGCCCTGTTTAATCATTTAAACTTTACACACATATGGACATCAATTTTGAGGAATGAGATGCTTATTTTATTTTCCGTCTGTGTATGGCATTTCTGTGACAGTCCGTGGATGGGTACCATTTACCTATACATAGGCTCCAGATACCAACCTTGGGGCAAGTTCATTGAAGTTACAGGCCTGTCATTGCCAAGTTAGGTTTCCCTGTTTTTTTCTTGCTTTTCTTTTGATGTGTTCTACCATTAATGAAAAGGCCCTGTTGTTGTCTGGCTTCCAACCCCAGAGAACCCCATTTTAAGTTTTCCTGTGCTTCTGCATGAACTATCTCAACAATAATCCCAGAACCAGATACACCTTGGCTGAGGGACCTCAGAAGACCAATCTAAGAAGCCCTCCATCCCATGCTAGAAGCAGGCTGCCCTGCTTCAGAGACAGTAGGGTAGAAAAGATGCCCTCATGCATCAAGCAGGGACCTCTTTGCCTTAGGTCCTATGAAACTTTACTTCCTTCTCGTGCTTAGATTTCTGTTGGTTTTCAGGAACATCCTCTTACACTGGAGTTATTTTCAGTTGGGATACACAGATGCAAATAGATATGAGTATGAAAGAGAGTCTTGAGCTACAACTTATACCTAAAGGCATCATGACCAAAGGACAACATTAACTTTTCATCAATTCTGAGGAAAAACCACCAGGGAGGCAGAAGTCCATCTGGAGCAGAGGGGCTGATTCAGGAGCGCCTGAAGGACCTGGCTGCTGGGCACCAGGCCTCCATCCAGCATGTGCACTCCCTGAGGTGCTGCTCTGTGCAACAGAGGACTCGCACTGTTAGAACAGCTACAGTCCAAACTTCTGTACATTCAGGCAAGTCTTCACCTCTTTTGAATGAAAGTTTTATACAACAAAGCTACCTCCCCTTGCCAGGCAAACATGGTACACAAACAATGGTTTGAAGGAAGTCAAATGGGATCAAATGGTAAAAATTCTCTGTATAGCAGGAGCAAAACTTAATCTCAACAATGGCCAGTTTAAATGTCCTAGGGCTAGAGAGGTAGCATTACTATTTTGACATCTTTAGGAAATGAAGGAATTCCATATTAAATTTGCAGCATAATAAATGTCATATAATTTTTGTACTCTTAGTAGACAAACTATTGCTTCTTGCTAAGCTCTTTTAAACAAATGTCTCTCTTCTACTCACCTCCTGGAGGAGGCCAAGAGCTGATTCTTGAGGGAACTCAGCTTATCCACTATAAGACTACTGCTGGCCTCTGGAGCAGGAAGATTCTACATGTGGACCATCACTCTCACTGCAAAATGTTGAGGACACGGGCTCTGCTCCCAGATGGGCAGTGTCTTCCCAGGTAAGAACATGCCATAATCAGCCCTATCTTGCTCCCTCACATCCTCCGTACTCAGCTGGTGCTAACTCTGCACCATGCTATGACCACCATCACTAGTTCTGAAGCCCTCAAGTTCTGTACCACAGAGCAGCTGTCCTCTGGCTGACGCCCACTGCATCTGCACATGCTGCTTCCTAGATACCATCTACAAGTCATCATACTCTAATTTCTAATGAAATCCCTTCATTTCTGCCCAAAGCCTTTCAAGCTAGGGTCTTTACTTTGAGAAATTGCTTTTTGAACCAGGGCCATTTCTACTCCATCATTTCTTCACATATTTTTTGATTTAGTGATTATTTTTTTTAATTTTAGAATTTTAAATTTACCTGAGATCTTTCGTGTCCTTAAGAATACAAATATCTTTTGTTGAAGTAGCTCACTTGAGAGAATGTTAGACTGAAGAACAGTACAACTTAAGACTGTTCACACCAGGCATCCTATGAGGTCGTATCTCTCATTATATTTAAGCAGAGCCAGCTGAGTGACATACCAGCCTACAACCTCACAGTCTCATACCCTAAGGTGTCACACAAACAAAGCTAGGGTTCTGCCACTCCTGGGTTTATTTTATCCCCACATGCATAGTGCAGTCAAGAGGATCACTTTTCATGCCAAAGCAAAATTTATACTTTTGGATAAAAATGGAATGATGGTGATTTCATTATTTTTATTGTTATAACCATTACTGTCACAACAGTGAACCACTGAGTCCTTGTAAGGTGCTTGGCACCCTACATGTTACATGCGTTACATTACTTAATGGTTTGGAACAAAAAGTATTACTCAGACTCTTTCATCACAGGTCGAACACTGATGATGAATCTGTTGGGAATGGCCTGGGCACCGCTTTCATACCCTGTGCACAGCACAAGCTCTATTTCTTGAGCTGAGGGCAAGTGGAGCCTTTCCTCCCATGCAAACATGCGGGCATCTGGGTATGCCCCCAGCTGGACACCCAATACCACAACACTTAAACATAATGCTTATGCTCTACAAAAGCAACTGATGATGTGGTTGGTGTAAATAACCTGACTATGACATCATCTAGATGTCAGTCATTGGATCAAGAGTTGAATGGTTTGTGATGAAACTGTAAATGTTTTTTTTTCACTCCTAAAAATTTACTGTGTCTAGTGTAAAACTGTTGAGTAAAAAAGGACAGAATCAAAACTCTTCCTGCCTTTCATGTTGGAAATTGGTTTACTATCTACAGTACTGAATACGTTTCATTGGCAATGAGAAGAGCTAACGAAGGACCCCTAACGTGTCCTGTCTGCTCTTCATTTCTCATGGAACAGAAGCTGACATTTTTCCATAAAAATTTAGGAAGTTATGAATCGGAGGAAAAAAGTGAGCTCTACAGGACCACCCGTCAACATGGTGCTAGTGTCACAGCTCTGGGACAGCCTCATTGAAGGGCCTCCTCCTCAACTTGAAATCTAGATTGATCATTGGAATATGAATGTGTTTCTATTATGAGATGAATGTGATTGATTAAATGGCCTTGATTAGGTATCTTACCTTGGTCTTAAAATTTGTTATCTGTTTTCTTCATTGTATGTGTTTATTAATACCAGTAAAAACAGATTATCACACATCTTCCATAAAATGATTGTGATAGAAATGTCACTTAGTGTATACGATGATGCACCACCTGCAGCAGACATCTTGGGGTATTACATCATTCTAAGTGCAGTACAGGGCGGCTGAGTTCAAGTCCAACTTGACTGATGTGGGCTCCCATAAAAGCTGTTACCAGTGAAGGCGAAAAAAATAAGAATTTGCTCTACTAAGGGAACAAAAAATGAAGTTACAAAACACTTAAATCACATCAATTCCTTCACAGGCCTTTGTCATGCAAGTGTGTAATTTTAATCTAATCTCTTCATTTGGGGTGATGTAATATCATGTAATTAGTAATTATTCCAATATAAATTTATCATACATATTTTTCAAGAATTTAAACGACAACATGACCTAAAATGTCTTCCAATACCAACCCTATAAAAGTCTCTTTTTTTCAATCAAGTGTGGTGAAGGGAAGGAGATAAAACATGCAGAAGGTAAGTAAGAGTCCCAAATGAGGAGCCAGTCGGATCTTCGAACAGTAATTTTCACATCAGAGCCAGACCCAGCAGTCTCCACATCTTTTCATAACACGAACACTTTGCTCATGTGACAGTACTGTACACCTGGAAACACTCACTGTGCTCCAGTAATGCTGATGCAAACTAGACAAGTCTACTTTGCAACACCTGTAGTGTTTTAATTAACAGTGTAATTCTACAAAATGAACTATAAAGGAAGATTCATATAAACTAAATGAAAGTAGTTAAAAGAAGGCCTAGAAATTAAAGTGACTTTACATAAAGAACATAATGCACACTGTAGGATCTATGTGTTACCTTCAAAAATGTTAAGAAGGGATGTAAATTTAATGCATTTCTTGCATAATATAAATGGCCTTAATCATCTATCAACCTCTGATGTTCCAAAGAATTAAAGAGCAATGAAGTCTTATTATAAAAATCTTCATCTAAGTCTTTCTGAGTTCACACCTCTGAGCCAGAGACCACACTCAGTTGCTGTTTGTTTCTCTGCCCCACCCTTGGCATGTTAGCCTCCAATACACAATGCTGATGAACAGGAACAACAGACACAAGTTCAGTAGCTCAATATTTTTCTGACCATAATATATGTAAAATATCAGCCAGATAAATGAACCAAAATATGATTCAAGAAAAAATTATTTTAAAATGTTATAAGACTGAGTATAATGCAGTGATAGGCACATGTCTGGCATCAACAAAAGCCCCAGGTTCCAACCCCAGCACTGAAAAAAAAATAAATGAAAATGCCACCTTAAATGCACGAATGAAAGGGCTTCCAGACCAGAAACCTTTCATTTTTGATGCTGTTATCAGGAGTTGTTTTCTGGAATGCTAACCTGAATGTGGTTAAGAAAAGGTGAAAGGAAGGACCTTGTGTAAAACTGGCCTTCTTGTGTCTCAGAACCTAAGATGCCCAGAAAAGCTAAGTGTATACAAATGGAAGAAATGTCTAGTTTTCTACACATATCAACTACAAGCAAATTGAATCCCTTGAGTGTGAGCACTTAAGACCATGACTACACTGGTCTGTCACTGAGATCCCACTGGAGAACTGTCTAGATTGACACCAACACTTCAGGTTCAGAGCAGTGAGCTACAGAGCTCTCAGGGGTACCCCAGTGACTGCCCAGTTCTCTGACTCTCATGCAAGGGAAGGCTTAGCCATCCCCTAATAGAAAGAAACTGCAGAGGCACAACCAACACTACTAGGAACGGTAGCAGAGGGCAGGCTAGGAGTGCTGCCTTTGACCTACCAGGAGGAAGAGGTCTATCTACTTCCCATCTCACTCCCCTGACCCAAGAAGGCCAAGGCTACCTCCTCACAAACACTGTGACAATAACGAAAATCTAGAGTCTTCAACAAGAAAAAACAGATTTACAGGGATAAAAATAACAAGAAATTAAAACTGGAGAAAGTAAGCTCCAAGATGGCAGTCACTAAAAATCAAGAACCCAAAACTACCTCTGTATAGAACAAAACGAGCCATCATTCCTGCATTTCTGGCTGTTCCTTGATCTGTTTCTAGCACTAGCAGACTTTAGATGCAGAGAGGTCATCTTCACGCCTGCTATGGTGGTGGCACACAAGCCTGGTACAAGAAGGCCTATTATTCTACCATGTATTCTGCAAGTCCAGAAACACAGGAAACATAGTACATTGACAATTCTAACTTGCATCCCCTCATACCTGAGACATGCCAGAACTCAAAGGACCGGAGATACACAGCGCATGAGGACCAAGCCTTTGGCGTCCCCACAAGCTTGTGAGCCCCTTCACCCACCCAGTGTGGGTGCACAGTGGCCAATGTCAGTTTGGCCAGCGTAGATGTCCTGGTATAGCCAGTATGACTTCCTTTCATGTGAGAAAACACAGTGTGAAACTTACAGAATAGACCATTGTAGAACAGATTGCAACAGTTACCCTGCATCAAGACAAAGTATATATACGTACACTTACACAGTCACTGTGTGTATGTATGTGTTTACATTCAAAGTGCTCAGACTAGAATAGTGTATTTTTTTTCCTCCATTTTGGGAATTTTAGACAGTTAAGAAAGCCTAAAACTCACCTATGCCTATGGAGAACCACCAAAATTATGCTAAGCAGGATTTCCACTCACACTGCAACTTGAATAACTAATGGCCTTCAGAAGAATGCCACAGAATCACTATTATCATTGTTTTACCTCGTTCTCAGTTAAGGATGCAGAAGGAGATGAACTTTTGCTAAACCCAAGAGCTGATGATGCTGCAGCAGAAGCCCGGTTTCGTTTCTTCAGGGGTTTGCAAGCATCAGACAGGTTTTTCGTTGCTGTAAAATAAGTTTATTTTACAAAGTTTAAAATCTTAAACCTCCCACCTCCTTAATGCTTTAAAGAATCTCTCAAACAAGGAAAGTCCTAAAGATGAATCTTCTAGTTTCCTTTATTGTACACTAGGGGTTTACTTTTTATCATGGAAAAATCTGATTGTAAGCAAAAGGAAATAAAACTATATAATGAATCTCACATCCCCATCACCTGGTTTCCAAAATCAACAAGCCAGGGAGGGCCAATGCAACTCCATTCACACCTAGATCCATGACCCTGTAGAATTCTCTGACACAAATTCCAGACGTGCAATTTCATCTACAAAAGACCTAGGGCTTATTTCTAAAACAAAGTTTTGATATAACAATACCACTCACACACTTGAAAATATCATTTTATAAAAGTTCAAATTCCCAATTATCCACAAATGTTTGGTTAAAAAAATAGCTGTTGTTTGCCAGGTGTGGTGGCACACACCTTTAATCCCACCGCTCAGGAGGCAGAGGCAGGTGCATCTCGGTTGAGATCTAGGCTAGCCTGGTCTATATAACGAATTCCAGGCCAGATGGGACTCCAGGAGACCCTGTCTCAAATAAATAAAACAAAAACAAAAAGCTGATTTTTAAAAGCCTGAACAGTATCTCACACAACACAAAGAAAACAGTCTTCCCAATCACCTCTCTTTACCCCTCACCCCTACCCATTTGTTCTCCTTCTAAGAGGTGGTAAGTTATCAGACAGATCGCAATAAAATAATTCATTTTTCTTTGCTATTGTCTAGCTAGGCTATTGGTTTCCTTATCATACAAGATAGAAACAATTACCCATGACTTTTAACTACTAAATAAACTATAAGGATTCTAAAGAGTGATAGAATTTATGGTAACAGCTGGTGCCATCAAGCAAGAAACCTGAGTATTTTTGGTTTAGATCTTTTTCTCTAATAAAATTTCAATTTGCAAACAAAAGTGAAAATCAGAAGAATAATAACTTCAATGACTGGATCCTTACAACTTACACGTTCAATCAGCTTATTTTTCAGTTAAGACCGTCTTTCCTCCTCGTTTGTGGTACAAGCTTCACTGCTGGTTCTTCTGAGGCTTCCCTGGACCCCTCCTTCTCAGCCCTGCTCTCATTTACCCTTGTCCCTCTACCTGCCCACACTGGAGGCTCGGTAAGAGCAGAACCAGGCCGCCCTGCTCACCCGCCCAGGCACCCAGAGGAGCCAGGAAGGAAGGAGCCTGACCACATTACCTGCCTGGCTCTTGAGCGAGGAGGCCGCCTCTATGGCCTTGTAAGAGCTTGTTCTGGCCGTTTTGTCGGTGATTGTCTCTCTCTGTTATTTAAACAAAAGGGGGGGGGCAGAAAAGAGAAAACAAGGAAAAAAAATTCTCCTAATGTGAATAAACACAGGTTGCTGAAAATTTACACAACACAAAGTTCTTCCTTTGGAAAAGTGTTCTTCAGATACAAGTGGACTCCTGTTGCTTAATGTTTTTCCATACTCTCAACTGATTCTTTTCTCACTGTCAGAAGGTAGAGTAAGCAGGGCTGTGACAAGACCTGCTACAGTTCTGGTAAGGCACCTCGTTACTCCATTTGCTGCCTAAACTTCCGACTGAATCCAGAGCCGAGTGAAAATAAAGAAGACCCAGCTTTCTATTTGAGAATCCCAACTGAACTGGTCAGCCTTGCCATGTCAGCGCAGCATTAGTAGTGTGATTCACTGCACTGGAGACTTCCCATTTTGAGATGAACTCAATCATTTACCTCATAAAGATCATCAATAAAACACCCTTCACAACTAAAAACAGAAGGAAAAAGAAAAGGTTTCAAAATGAGTCAGTGGCATAGGCCTGTAATTTCATTTACTTGGCAGGCTGAGGCAGGAGGATCACACGTTCAAGGCCTGCCTGAGCTACTGAGTTCAAGAACAACCTAGGCAACTTAGTGAGAGCCTATTTTGAAACAAAAAAGTAAGTCTGGAGAGACTGTACTTGCTGCTCTCCCAGGATATGAGTCCAGTTCCCAGCACCCACATGGCTATTCAACCATGCATAACTCCAGTTCCAAGGGATTTGATGCCCTCTTTCTGGCCAGCATGAGCAATAGGCATGCACCTGATATATATATATATATATATATACACATACATACATACAAACACCCATACACATAAAAGACAAATAAGTACTTTTATAGAAGTCTTTTTAAAAAATTAATTTGGGGGCTGGAGAGGTGGCTGAGTGACTAAGAACACTGGCTGCTCTTTCAGAGGTCCCAGGTTCAGTTACCAGCACCCACATGGTGGCGAACAAAAAAACAAACCAAACCAAGCCAGGGGGGTAACACAGGAGGTCACTGGGGGATAGTCACAAGGTCAATGTTTAGCTTTTGAAATACTCTTGGCACATCAAAAGTAATCAGTACATAATAGGGAATTGTATGCAAAATGACTTTGGTCAGATCAGAGGTGATACATATGCTTTTGATTTTTTTTTTTAATGTTTAGTTCATTAAAAAAAAAATTCTATCTAGTTATCTACTGTAAATTTTGATATTTCAAATGTCCTAGTCACAGATTTCTTAAAAAAGACGTTTGAGTTCCAGGACACCTGGGG